TTCTGAAATGAGGCAGAGATGAGTGATGACTGAAGCTAAGACCCTCCCAGGGACAGAAGGAAGTGGTGTCTTTGTGCTAACATTTGCCAGCTACTGGAGAGGGATCATGCCCCAAGGTGCTTCTCACTGCCCCTTCCTCTTTGTACCTGAGGGTCTCTGACCTGATTTTCCCACTCTTTCTTTCAGTCCCAAGGTTAACTCTAGCTCATTTTTCTTCCCTTTAGTCTCCTCATCTTCTCTAATCAGCCCTGAGCCTATAATATTTTGTCTCTTCATACTGACCAAGTTCTGAACAAATTTTGGAAATCCAGTGCGTCAGGCATTCAAACAAATGAAATATATCCACAGAACTCACCCTGGCATGCCAATGGTTCCCAGTGCCAGAGAGAGTGGTAATGTGTCTGGCCACTCTTCAGGCAGCCTTTCCAGTTTTTTTCCATCAGAAATAGAGTGTGTTGTCCAGCCCGAAAAGGCCAGTACAATAGTTCCTGTTGGGAAAGCCGAGTTTTTACTTTCCACCACTCTGAAAGATAAGACATGAAGACGTGTGAAACCTTTTCCCCTTCAAGGGAGTGGGGATGCTCTGTGGTTAGTGTACACAAAAGAGCACTGAGGTTGATATTCTATGATTGAATACCCTGCCCATATAACTCTATTGTAATTCTTAGCCACTGGTTTCTCCTTCTTCTTTAGAAAAAAATGAGCCATCAAAGAGGAAACTCAACTAGTCCAGCATCTGTCCCTGTCCTAACCCACTTTTCTAAGCAAGAGTTGTCCATCTTCTGTCTCAAGGTGCCCTGAACACCAGCCTCTTCTGTTCTTCAAGAGTCACCCTCCATCCCTTAGCCCTTCCTCTCTCCTGAATCTTTAACATCTTCCTCTCTACTGTCCCTTCCTCTCAACCAATAAGTGTGCTCAACTCAGCCATTTTATAATCCCATCTTCTCTCTATGTCCTCCATCCTCTCTTTCCTTTTACACTCACTTGATAAGCCAATGAAACCTGCCTTCCACCCCTACTCCTCCACTAAGGTCGCAATACCCTTGATTGCAAAATCCAGTGGACACTCTTCATTCATTACCTGATTTTACCTTTCTAATGATTTCAACACCTGGGGTCATCCAAAACTCTTCCTTACTGGTGTCCAGGATACTAATTTCTCCATGCTTTTTACCTCTCCCTCGAAGCTGCTTCTTTTCTGTCTTATTTGCTGATTCTCTTTCTCCCATCTTTTCTCACCCTTACCATTCTTTACTGTCTTCCCCCCAGATCATATAGTTGTATAACATACATTTATTTTAGAAAACTTGGAACATATATCAGTTCCAATCCCATAATATAAAGATAACTGATAATATTTTGATGCATTTTATGGCAGTCTTAATGACAATTTTTAAATATATATATATTGTATATAGTTACATAATTGTTTTATAACGTAATTTTTTCTCTCAACATTATCAGTCTATATAATTTTTCTCACATTAGTAAGAATCCTTCAAAACTGTAATTAATTTAATTATTTCCCCATTATTAGACATTTAGACTATCTCCAGTATTTTTCCTAATGTTAATTATACTTCAATTAATATTTACAAAAATTTATCATTTCCTGTGGCAATATTTCTATAAATGGAATAACTAGGTCAAAGAGTATTAAAACATTTGTAACTGTTGCTGTATACTGCCAAATTCCTTTCTGGAAGGTTATGTCAACTTTGCTTCCACCCTCAATGTATGAGAATATCATAACAACATTTTCATCACTGGGTATTATCTAAAAAAAAGAAAGAAATTACCGATTAAGTAATAACAAATACATGTTCACTTCTTTGATTATTAGCAAGAAATGTGTAAGACCTATGGGAAGAAAACTGTTAACAGGCCATAAGACAAAAATAGATAAATCTAAAGGAATATACCTTGTGCTTGAAGAGAAATATTGTGATGACACTGGTTTTCTCTAAATGAATCTATAAAATCGTTGAAATCCCAGTAAAAATCCAAATAAGATTTAAATAAACAGTATAACTTGCTAGTCATTTGGACATAAAGTTAACACTTCACTCTTTATTCCAAAACAGAAATGAAATGACTCAAAGTTTTAAATGTGAAAAATTAGAGTATACAGTACTAGAAGAAAACATGAGTAAATATTTTAGCCATTTTGGAGAGGAGAATGTCTTTCTCATCATTCAACAAAACCAAGAAGCCATCATTACAAATATCAATAATGTTATCACATAAAATTTTTAAACTACGATTGGACATAGGAGAAAGATAAATGAAGACCCAAATATCTGCAAAAGTAAGATTCCTAACATACGAGAAGCTTTTACAAATCAATATGAAAGACAAAAAGACCTAAAGGAAAAGGGCAAAGGATATAAACCGATAATTCATAGAAGAAATTGATCATTCTTCTAAAAAAAGAATGTCAACATCACTAATAATGAAAGAAATGCAAATTAAACTAAGCATGAAGTATCAACATAGTCATCTCAGATTGCCAAGACTGATGGTAAGCAATGGGCATACAGGTATGTGGGACAGTTTCTTTAATATGCTAGTGGTGGGCATGGATACTCATCAATCATTTTGAAGAGGAATTTACCATCATCCTTTCACATTAAAGATGTACACCTCCTTTGACCTAGAATTTATACTTTTGGAAATTTAATGTTCAGCAATATTCGTCCAAGTGGGCCAAGGACACACAGACACATATAAATGCATACATGTTCTTTGCAGAACAATTTGTAAAAGAATTGGAAACAGTTATCAGTAGATTAGTTAAATGGCAGATAACAATGGAATAATGTGCAGTCATTAAACGATAGGTAGCATACTGAAATACTATCAGCAAAGATATCCATAACATATCAAGTGAGAAAAAGCAATTTTTGACAGGCATTTAATCCCATTTTTTTAAAGTATAAATATTAGTATGTGTACTGAACAATTTTTGAAACAATAATACATTAAAAACATTTATCTCTAAGGTTCAGATGATGAAGGAACTTTCCGTTCCAAGATAGATACAAATTTTTGTTTTATTTGAATTTTTATGATAATCACAAACTGGATGAATACAATTTTTTTAGTAATTAAATGGAAGGATAGTAAAGTGAAGTTGAAATGATTTCAATTTCACAGCCTTCCCTTTCTCTCAACTAGATGAGAAAAGGGCAGATTTTCCAAGTTGCTTCCAAGGTCAGTGAGTGAACACAGGCTGAAGAAATTGTAGGTGCAACGGAGAGAGAGAGGGCCCAACAAAAGGTAAAGGGGAGACATATTTTCCAAACTCTGGGACAAAAGGAAGTAACTACCTGGCCACTTGATGCCCCAAAAGTGTATCACCCTCCTTCATCGTTTGGCTCACTCTGAAAAAAAGAAAAAATTCCATGCTTAATACATTATTAGAGCATCTGGGAAAAACTCTTGAGTTTCAAGCCAAATGGAAAACCACTAGAGAAGTGTGTGAAGAAATGAAACTTGGATACGTGAGAGCAGTACAATCAACCGGGTGTAATGAATGCAGGACGAACATTGTTAGACGTAGTTCTGCTCTGTGACCCCAAAGAAAAATTCTGATAATATTTTTTAATGAAATGAACATAAGGAACTTACTACAGTGCTCAGCTGTGGATGATTTTCTACCAATGATGTTCAAATCATAACCAGGTACCACTGGGTACTTGTTACCCACAACACTAGCTGTGATACTGTGATTTATAAGAAGAAATGTATATTTGGTCTATCTATATCCTTGTCCTCATTTCTGGCACAGAGCTCCTAAAACTTTTGGAAATTCCTAGGTGGTGGGAACATTAAATGAGTCTTTTGTTACATTAATGAGAAGACTTTAGGGAAGAATGTCCACCTAAGGATCAGGGGTGGTTGCCAGGACAAACAGCCACATGACTAGAGGGTTGGAACTTTCAGTCCTATCCATACCTTTGGCCTCCTGGAAAGGGAGGGGAGCTGGAGGTTAAATCAATAACCAATGGCCAGTGTTTTAATTATGCCTTCATAAAAATCCAAAAGGACAGTGTTCAGAGAGCTTCTGCGTTAGTGAACACATGGAGATTTTGGGAGAATGGCACCCTTGGAGAGGGCGTAGAAGCTCTGAGCCCTTTCCCTATATCTTGCCTTACGCATCTCTTCTGTCTGTCCCTGAGTTATGTCCTTTTATAACAAACCAGTAACTTAGCGAGTAAACTGGTTTACCGAGTTCCTGAGCAGCTCTAACCAATTAATCAATCCCAAAGGGGTGGAGAGTTTAGAACGTCTACTCTATAGCCAGTTGGTTAGGAACACAGCTAACAACCTAGTCTTGCAAACTGGCATCTGAAGCGGGGTGGACAGTTTTAACTTTAATCTGTGTAACCTCTATGTAGATAGTGTCAGAACTGAGTTGAATAGTAGGACACTCAGCTGATGTCTTAGCTTTGAATCTCTATTAATCAGCTATGAAGAAAATTATTTAAAGGAATGATGATGATATTATTTACCTAGGCAAAAAATTACTGAGGAGTTAGGGGCCCATGAAAGTTTTTATTCTGTCCCCTCCCAGAGTTGTTTATTGAGTACACATGTTTGAGTCAGCTGCAGATTACCTAAATTAAGAGTGTACAGGTAAATGGAAGGCAAGAAAATCTAATTTTAGTCTTAGCATCTTCCTCTACTTAAATTCTTTGCCAGTAGTGAAATGGACAAATTGGAATTTGGTTTCTTTTTCCTTTTAATTTTTCTGGAAGCAATTCTGTTGAGAGACGAGAGGCAAATTGTGGACATTAAGATAGATGACTGTGAAATAAAAGGGCCAGGGTAATCCCAAACCAAGCTTCTCAGGCCTTTGCCTGAAAAAAATGAGCACCCGCAAATCCCTTCACCGATACTTGTACTGGGTGAATTAGGGGGAAATGACTGTTTTGAATCAGTTGGGTATTTTAAAAGATGAACTAACTTCACAATATAGTCTAACACACAATAAAAGAAAATAATACCTCATGTAAGGATCCACAGTGAGGAACAAAGCTTCTAGCAGAACCTCTACAGAAGAAAACATTACATAGGTAATTAGAGACTAGAAGGGCTCTCACATTTGGTCCAGCACAGTTGTTGTTGTCCTTGTCTTTTTACCATCACCACCATCACCATCACCATCACCATCACCATCACCACCACCACCACCACCACCACCACCACCAACACCACCACCATCATCATCATGTTATTTACTCAGCACTCCATGCTTTTCATGGAATATTTCACATGATATTCTCAACAATTATTGTTTCCATTTTATTTAGCTTAGGTTAAGTAGCTGGCCTAGGGCTACATCTGTAACCACTACGTTACAGTGCCCACATAGGGTTTCATTACCAGCCCCAGTTAGTATTAAAGAATATGCATGCTGCTAGAGTGACCCGTATGCACATATTCTCTAGAATTTTGAAGCTGAGCCCTGGCTATCGCAATTTAGATGGGACTGATAACCTGGCCATGCTACTTGACTGCACACCCTTTTCACAAAGCTTACCTACCTGTAACATTCCTTGTAGCCTGCTCTACAAAGCTAATTTCCAAACATGGTAAGAAGTGTGTTGCCATTTCTCTCCCTTAGATTTCTTTAGGTTTGCCTTATCCCTCCAGTTTCTCCAAGTGGATGGGAGGCTCCTCAGTGAAGGATGGTTTTCCCCATCTTGTCTGTGCACAGGGACAGTTTGAGCTCTGCGAAGGCAGTGCCAGCCCACTGTCATCACTGAGATCACCAGGACAAAGAGGAAATCCTGCCCATAGTCTGGTCAAAGTCATGAAGAATAATGCACTCAAGCATGAGTTTCCATTACCAAGAAAGAAGAGGGATCCTCCAATGTGACATCAAGGCTTCACGCAGAGAACCTTGAAAAAGTCTCTGTGGCAGATTACACAATGGCCACAAATACCTCCTATCTCTGCCTATGGGCCTCTTTGTCACTCCTCCCATCAAGAAGTGTATTTCCCTCTCCTTAATCTGGGCTTGGCTCTGTGACTTGCTTTGACAAGTGAATTAGCAAACATGATACAAGTAGAGGTTTGAAAAGTGCACCTCGGCAGAAAGTGCACCAGACATGTCCGTGAGGCCCAGATGAAATCTACAGAAGAACCACCAATTTAACCCAGCCCAACTGCCAACCCACAGAATTGTGTTCTAATAAATGACTGTCGTTTGAAGTCATTAAATTTGGGGGTAGTTTTTTATGCAGCAAAGGCTAACTGATATAGTCTCTTCCAACTCAAATCTCATGAGTATGACTTACCTCCAGTTTTTAAGGGTGGGAGTTCAGCTGTCTTCAGCTCAAAGTTACTATCTTTAGGGTTGCCTTCGAATTGCTTCTTCAGGGTCCATCTCTTAGCCTGAACCATCCTGAAGCTCCTAGAACATGGTAAATATGTAGTCAACTGCGGTGAAGTGACCAGCTTTCTAGCCATTGCACTGAGGCCAGACAGAAGGATTAGCCATCATCTACTTCTCATCATTATCATTCAACATCAATCACATTTAATATTCGTTATGTTTTTGTTGCTATGCTAAGCACTTCATATGCATCATCTAATTTTATCCTCATAACTTCCCTATAAGATCGGCATTATTATTATTGCCAGTGGACAGAAGGGAAAACTGAGGCTTCGTCAAGAAATCTTTAAGGCCAGGAAAAATGTAAACCAACACAGAAATTCTTCCCAGCCATTGTAAGGATTTCTCTAGGGCACTGAAGAGCTCGACGTGCAAATATTCCGTTTCTCACCGCACATGAAGTGCATCCTAGTAAATAGGGTCAAATAACAAAGAACTGGTCAGAAGTCCACACCCATCTTTCAGATGGATAGAGTAACCCGTTCTCAAGACAAAGTCTCAGGAACACCTGAACACCACCGGGTGGCGCTGCTGATCTGCCCAAATTTCAGGCAGTTTTCTTTGGCACCAGAGGAAAAATCAAGGATTTGTATAGCTGAAAACTTGCTTCCACACAAAACCGAGAAGTGCCTCCCACTGCTCTGAATTGCCTTGCATCACGTGAGATCTGTACCTCCTCCACGAGTAAATCGGCTGCTGATAACGCCCGCAGCCGCTGGCGATTTCGCTCTGTTCCCGTCCAGTGCTCGGGAGAGAGGACACTTGAGGCCCAGAGGTCCGGGCAGTCCAATACGCAGCACTGATGGTCCTTCTTCTTTCCCCCAAAAGGTAACCGCCGCGCATTCTGAACTCTCTGTAAGCCCAGAAGCCCCTGGAAAGGGCCTGGCCGCAGAGGCGGGCACGGTTCAGGGAGACTCCCACCAACCGGAGGAAGGGACCAGGTGCAGTGCCCAGTCCCACCAACCGGAGGAAGGGACCAGGTGCAGTGCCCAGTCCCACCAACCGGAGGAAGGGACCAGGTGCAGTGCCCAGGCTCCCACCTCCTCGCCCCGCACCCACGCTCCCCGGGCCCATTAACGAAATTCCGATCCCTTTTTTCCCTTCCACACTTGTCCCAGTTTTGCAGTCCCCCAAGTTCCTTGGCCAACCACTTCCCCGGAGAAGGCAGCTCTGGGGGGCTGTCGAAATGCACGCAGGCCATGCCCTTCCCTCCAGCACCCGTCTCGGATCCCTCCAAAAATCTGCAGGGACCGGAGGCCTCGGGATATCTACTTCCAGTTTCATTGGAGCGCAAGACCCAGAAGTTATTCAGCCTAAGGAGAGGGAGAGCAACGCACAAACCTAGGCAAAGGGGTGTTCAGAAACTCAGCAGGGGAAAAAAAATGGAGTCGGAGTGGCGACGTTTACTTACGACAGTTCGGAGGGTCCAACTAACGAGAGGAGGGTGCTGGGAACTACGCCGCGAGGCCTGAATTTATGTATGGTCCCAGAGGGGGCGGGGCTTCCTCCAGGGCGAAGCCGCTGCTGCCTGCGAGCGAACCCAGAAGGGTAATGCAGGGCGGGGGGAGGGAGGGAGGGAGAGGGGGAGGGGGAGAGCGCGCGAGAGCGCCGGCTCCGGTGCCCTGGCTAATAAGAAAAGCGCTTTGTGAGAATTAAATGTCTTTTTAATGGATAAAATGAAGTGCTAAGACTAGTACACGCGGGTGGTAAGCTCAATTAACGCCAGCTTCCAGTAACACTCTTTTGACCTCCCCACTGGCCTTAAATCAGTCTCGGACACACCACAGTGTCTTGTTCAAGTACACACAACCCAATCTTTGTCAATCATGTCATGTAAATAGTGAAACAACGCAAAGATGTTTAAAGAACTTAAAAACGTCCCCTTGATTTCCTCCATTTGAGATTGTAAAAGTGGAAATTCTCCAGTTTCAGGGAAGAGGTATCTCCAGGCGCCATCCCCTAGGGAGAGCAGTAACTCAGTTACAGGGAGGTGATATACCCCGGAGCCAGCCCCAGGGAGAAGCGCAACATTCCAAGGAAAAGATGATAAAACTGTCTATTAGGCCCTGTTTGCTGGGAGTTCCCCTGAATACATTTATCTGTGTACAAAGAGTTAACGACTAACTTCTGCTTCTTGTAATCTGTTCATGCAAAGATGTAGTAAAAAAACCTTATAAGCAGCCTGCTGGGGAAGCTGGGGGCTGATCTCCTCTAACCCTGCGTGGTAGAGAGTCAGTCCCACACCGGCTAATAAAGGCTCGTAATTAATCTCAATTGGCTCCGTGGGTCTCAGAAGCATTCGTGCCACAAGATAACTGAAGTTAACATACAGAAGGTTGTTTCCTTCTGTTTTTAAATAAATTGGATCATTCTAAAGATGGTACTCTGAACCATTTTTCTGATTTAACATCATGACATCTCTCTAAGTAAACAGATAGAGATATTGTTACGGCGCGAACGATTCTGAGACCCACGGAGCCAATTGAGATTAATTATGAGCCTTTATTAGCCGGCCGGCGACTGACTCTCTACCACGCAGGGCTAGAGGAGATCAGCCCCGAGCTTTCAGAGCAGGCAGCTGATAAAGCTCAAGACCATATCCTGGTGGTCTCCTGAACAAGCCAGAAGATTACAGAAGGGGAAGTTGGCTGTTAGCATATCTTTGCCCGGAACAACACCCTTAATTAACAAGTAAATGGATTACAGAAGCAGACATTGGCCATCTACATATTTTATACACTACACTTCCTAAACCACACACAAGCAAGTAGGACAACTTCTGATATCTAAAGATATTTCTTCCCTGTAGCTGACTTAGCTAGTTTGCTCACTTGAAAATTTTCTACCCTTAACAATATAGCTTGTTACTTATGTAGTTCATGGGTAATATTCCATAATTTGGTGTATGACAATTTATTCTCCTAATGTTGAAGTTGTTTCTAGTCTTGTTTTGCCCTGTCATTATCAATGAGACTGTGATAATTATCCCTGTATGAAGAGCTTTACATTCTAATGCTTTTATTCCTAAAAACTGGAGTAAGATTGTTAGGTCAAAGAACATGTATTTTTAATCTATGAGGTTGAATCATATGAAATTGTTGCTATTCAACCACTTTGACCTAAAGAAATAGCAATTTCATAAGGTTGAACCTAATACATTGCCAGGTTGCTTTCCAAAAAAATTATAGCAATGATATTCCTACCATCAATGAGAGTTTCTGTTACCTAAAGCCAATATCGGGTCTGATGTTATTGTTGAATTCACTTTTTGCCAATCTGTTGAGTGCAAATGAACTTACACCCTCCATCCCTGTCTAAGAGCTGAGATCTGACTTTTGCATACTTGTACCCTGTACCTACCTGTATCATTTAGGATATTTTTTTTCTTGCAAGTTATAGAACACTCATACTAGGTTAGATAATAAGACAGATTTATTGGCTCATATGACTAGGTTTTTTTTTTTAATTGCACATAAATTAATGAGAGA